AGCATAGCATAGCATAGCATAGCATAGCATAGCATAGCATAGCATAGAATAACAGAGTTGGAAAGGACCGTGGAGGTCTTCTAGTCCAACCCCCTGCTTAGGCAGGAAACCCTACACCACTTCAGACAAAGGGTTATCCAAGCTCTTGTTAAAAACTTCCAGTGTTGGAGCATTTACAACTTCTGGAGGCAAGTTATTCCAATAATTAATTGTTCTGTCAGGAAATTTCTCTTTAGTTCTAAGTATTTTCTCTCCTTTATTAGTTTCTGCCCATTGCTTCTTATCCTGCCCTCAGGTGGTTTGGAGAATAGCTTTACTCCCTCTTCTTTGTGGCACCCCTGAGATATTGGAACACTGCTGTCATGTCACCCCCTAGTCCTTTTTTTTTCATCAAACTAGACATACCCAGTTCCAGCAACTGTTCTTTATATGTTTTAGCCTCCAGTCCCCTCATCATCTTTGTTGCTCTTCTCTGCACTCTTTCTAGAGTCTCAACATCTTTTTTACATGTGGCAACCAAAACTGGATGCAGTATTCCAAGTGTGGCCTGTTGAACGAACTGTATGCAGTTAATATATAACTAGACAACTGTATTGAATTAAATATATAATTAGTCAAGAAGATTACTTATAAACCTGATACAGTCCATTGATTTTTCTTCCAGAAATAAACTTGCCCATGTTCTTCAGCAAGATGAAGAATGACCTGAACTTGATGTGATTTATGTATCTCTGTCTCCATCACTATCTGCATCTGTACCTCTGCATCTATCTCTACTACTCCCCAAATTCTCTTTTTATATATTATCCTTTTTCTGCCTAGACTTTCTTTATTATTATTTTTACAAAAGGCAAATAAATCCAAAAACTTACTGATTTGTTGATAGTATATGAATTCCATAATGGCATCAAGATGTCTTGACTATATGCACTTATATATTTAGTCTGGTGAAGGAGGCAGTACTTGCTGTGCTGTAGAACGTGGGGTCTTCCATAAGGCAAATTATCAGCTTCAGACTGCATTTCTAGAATAAAAACCATAATTATGGAGTTTCACATTAACTGAATACAATTCTTTCCAAAATCATTATGAATTGCTCATTCAAGATTTTTTTTTTTTTTAGTTTTCAGTATATTGGAAAGAACAAAACAATTGGGAATAACTGGAAAGCTGGCCTATTTAAAACCTCACTTTGGGGTTTTTCCTGGCCTATGTAATACCAGAATGTTGGCGACTTGTTGAGCCAAACATGTTGAGCCAAACTCTACATCTCCCACATCCCATTCAACACTGGCAGCATTTAAAGGAAAATAGTTGAACCACTGCCAACAAAACTTAACCAAGCTGTTACTTCGGAAGCAAAGCTCCCATTAGCAGCAGTGAAAGAATTTAAGTGGGGAAACCAAAAGAAGAAAATACCATTTGAAGTGATGGATATCTTGGATACAGTGCTAATACAGTACACATAAAACTACCTCAGTTTATTGCTTTATTTTACTGGTGGATCATCAGAGCTATACCTAGCGATATATCCCTTACGAGTATAAAAATCATAGAAATAATTATCATGATTATGATGCCCATGAAACAGGAAGAATGGAGTGGTCTTGTTTGGTACCACTTGTTACCCATTTCTGCAGAACACTCTGGCCTTCAGCCATGCAAAGTCCACCAATTTCACCGATAACTGCATGTCTCTAGGAGAAACTATCACTCTATGAATGTGTCATGGTTCAGAGCAAATGAACCCAACTGAATTTCAAGCTCCATTCAGGCTTGAAAGATCTTTTATTGAGCACATCATATCTGCTCTTAGAAAGCTGAAGGTAATTCCTACAGGTCAGAGTAATAAAAAGAATAGAAACTTCCCAACTCCCCCCCCCCCCCCCCCCCCCCAGGTGTCTTGGGTAAGATTAACCAATCAGTCCAGCAGTAGCTCCCCCCTCGGTCTCAGCAGATGTTTGTTGCCATGACCTTGGTTCACACGCTTTGGCCTGGTGGATGTTTTTGTCTTGTGGACTCAAGCACCACATTCCTTTCTAACTTCCCCCCAAAGAGTTGGGAACTAAGAAAACAAGTGAAAGTAATATATGGCTTCAGCCAAAGTCGTTTTGAAGTTGACAGCATGTGCTTATTATGTGCGTGCGTCTGCAGTTCTTTCCCTCCACTTTATATCTTCCTCTTCTCGATCTCAGTGTTTCCTCAAGTGTGGTCCAAGGACACCTGGGGTCCTCCAAGATCCTCTCAGAGGTCTGAGAAGTCAACATTATTTGCAAAATATTGAAGATAGTTACAAAAATTTGATCCAATGGCATTCTTATCCTTATTATTTTCTATTTGTTAAAAAATATGATTTTTTAAAATTTGTGTTAATACCTAATGGGTTTAATATTGTTATTTTTAACGTGATTCAATAAATAAATGTTCTACAAATGCATCAAGTTTAATTTTTCACAAAGTAAATATCCAGAAATATAACCCATACACACAAATAGGGGGTTCCTCCCTCCTCGGTGAGGGAGATGGGCAATTAAAAAGTCTGATAAATTAATCAATTAGTTACAAGAAGAAAAAGTTCAGAAAACACTGCTCTACCTTATTCTCTTTTTTTTAAAAAGGAATAAAAAGGGATTCCTCTCCTCAAATGGTGGAGGTTTAAATAGGTTTAAATACCAACCCAGTTTAAAAAAAACAGTACACAAGAAAGCCTTGATGTACAACCACAATTGGTGGGAGGAGTTAAAGGAATTGCACCTAATTTTACAAACTTGTATGGCCTTTTTTCTCCATGGTCGTTAATCAAATCATTGCAGTTGTTAAGCAAATCTGGTTCCCACCATTGATTTTGCTTGTCAGAAGCCAGCTCAGAAAGTCACAAATAGCAACCACATAATCCTGAAACCCTGCAACTGTCATAAATACATGCCAGTTGCCAAACACCTGAATTCTAATCACATGACTAGCGGGATGCAGTGATGGCTGTAAAAGTAAGGAATGGTTGCAAGTCACTTTTTTCAATACTGTTGTGACTTCAAGTAGTCATTAATCAAATCATTATATATCAAGACTACTTGTAGTTTACATTCCCTGTGTATCGCAGAATTTACATTAACTTGGGTCTTGAATAACCTGGGGGTTGTACTGTATATAGCAGTATTTTTGAAGCTTGGGAATTTTGTGGACTGCTGGGTGGCTGAGGAATTCTGAGAATTGAAGTCCTCATGTTTTAAAGTTGCCAAGTCTAAGAAACACTGGCCTATTTTCTATATTCTATTAACATAACTTTGGCTTCACTAGTAATATACTTTTATGCCCATCTAATTCACTGGTAATAATAATTCACTGCTGATACAGTTTTACAGATGAATTATTGAATCTATCATCTGCACCTCTATAATTGTCTGGTTTGGTTCTGCAACCCAACAGGACAGACACAGACTTCAGAGAGTAATTAGGACTGCAGAAAAAAACAGTTACTACCAACCTGCCTTCCATCAAGGACCTGTATACTGCACGAGTCAAAAAGAGGGCTGTGAAAATATTTACAGACCCCTCACATCCTGGACATAAACTGTTTCAACTCCTTCCCTCAAAACGATGCTATAGAGCCCTGCACACCAGAACAACTAGACACAAGGACAGTTTTTTCCCGAACGCCATCACTCAGCTAAACAAATAATTTCCTCAACACTGTTCAACTATTTACAAAGTCTGCACTACTATTACTATTAATTTTCTCATCACTCCTTATCACCCATCCCCTCCTACTTGTGAATGTATGACTGTAACTTTGTCGCTTATATCCATACAATTTATATCGACTGTTTCCTAGTATGATTTGATTGCTTATTGTACCCTGTGACTATCATTAAGTGTTGTACCTTATGATTCTTGACAAATGTATCTTTTCTTTTATGTACACTGAGAGCATTTGCATCAAAACAAATTCCTTGTGTGTCTAATTACACTTGGCCAAAAAAGAATTATATATGGTTTATGGCCATAGTGGAGTGTGTATAAGATACATATCTGATCCTGAACATTCCAGTCTCCTAGAATTCTGATAGGAATCGATTGATCTTCACAGCTTGTAATCTGTGTTTGTGTGCATGTGTCTGTGTTAAATTTATATAGCCTTATTTGTTAAATTGAATAATTAAATTGATATCACTTTATTTATTAAATTGAATGATTGCATTTATGTAACTTTATTTGAATGAATTGAAATTGAATTGAAATTGAATTGAAATTGAAATTGAAATTGAATTGAAATTGAATTGAAATTGAATTGAAATTGAATTGAAATTGAATTTAACAAAATGATTAATTAATAATTAAATTTTAATATTTATATATTTGTTAAATTGATGTAACAAATTTATATATTTGTTAAATGTATATGTTTGAATAAAATCTCTTCTAACGAGATTCCCAGATGGGTACCAGACCCCTTGAAACCTTTCACCAATTAGAAGTGGGTTTGTACCAGACTTACTTGCTTGGTCAGTGAGGTTTAACCTTTGATTCACTGCTTCTAAATCTGTTATCTGCAAAGATAGAAACAAGGCAAAAGTCAAAAGAAGGGTCGAGCATAGATACACAGGTTAGATTAAAAACATACTGAACGAAAAGCACCCACAAACTTACTGAGCTACAATTACATCCTGAAACATCTGGACTGGGAACGAGGCCAAAACGGCATAAGAGAGGAGAAGATTGTTCTTTTGCTGGAGAAGGATTGTGGAAAGGGTTTTTTAGGAGGTGATTCAAGCTTCCATGTGTTCCATTGTTTGGAGCAGGTTTAAGCTTCAGGAGATCTGTGAAAGAAGAAAAAATTGCAATTTTTCCAGTGTGCATCAAAGACTTCAAGGTTCTGATGTTTGGAATTTGGACTGGGAAAAAAGAATTACAGAAATGTGAGATCTGGAATCTCAAATGGAGAAGTGTCACGTGAGTGTTGGACTGTGGTACTCACGACAATTCTGGAATTATATGGCTATGTTTGAAGATTGTTACAGTTCCCACAAACTGAACAAAGCAAGTTGAAAGGCCTCTAAAGTAGGTATATTCTTAATAATTTGCAAGATGCTATGACTCAATATGACCTCATGTATTATACTTTTGTGATAAAACTACTTTTGGAAAAGAGGAGGCATCCCTATGATAGTTATAGTTACAGAGAGACCACTCTCTTTTTAAAAAATCCTGTAAAGATCTACCTAAGAATAATATTCTCAAGAGTGCTTAAATGACCTGTTGATACTCTCAACTGAGAATGGAGCATGCCCAAAATGGAACATGTCCAAAAGTTACATATTCCATCTGCAGATGAAAAAGCAAGAAAATCTTTTAAGTAACTCTTTAATATTGCTTCTCTAGTTTCCCACCAACCACATAGTCCAGAGTTAAGTTGATGGGTTTCAATGGATCACAGGGAGTGCATTGGCTTTGGGCTACTACTGCTTTTTTTCCATTTTAAAAGTTTGGTTTGATTTAATTCCTGGATGTATTATGACTACTCCATTCCACATGTGCTCTGATCTCAATCTACCTAGTCTGAGGGGCCTAGCTTGCTTTCTTTACTAGAGGCCATTCTATTTTGGGTATTTCTCTTGCAGGAACTGAAGTTGAACTCTGCATATAAAGTAGGTGTATTGTTACATTTTATGTATTTAATGTCAAAGAGAGAAAGAGACTGATGGGGAGGATTCATAAAGACAAAGAAAAGGCAGCAGTAAGACACCGGATTGTAGATCTGGTTCAGTGGTGGGATTCAAAATTTTTTTACTACCGGTTCTGTGGGCGTGGCTTGTTTGGTGGGCTGGTGGTCATGTGACTGGGTGGGCATGGCCAACTCAGCAAGGTGGTGTGGCACCTTGCTGCGAGTGACGTCAAGTTGGCCACGCCCACTCAGTCACATGACCGATGCTGCAGAGACAGGGTGATTTCCTACATACCTTCCCCCTCTCCTCCCCCCTTGGGCTGACAAAAAAAAAAGCCCAACTAAAGATCACGAACGACTGCCTGCCGAGTCTGCCTGCTGAATGGGTTTTGTTTTATGGTGGTTTTGTTTTTGTTTTTATACATACATATATACAGACAGACAGACAGACAAATAGACATTAATTTATATATATATACATATATATAAATTATAGATACCGTATATACTCGAGTATAAGCCGAGTTTTTCAGCCCATTTTTTGTGCTGAAAAAACCCCCCTCGGCTTATACTCGAGTCAGATTCCCCTCTGAAAAAAAATGGTGTGGAGCTCCGGAGCTGGGCAGGCGCTTCCCTGCTTCCGTGTTTCCTTTGCAACTTTTAAGCATGGGGGTAATCGGAAGCAGAAAAGTTCTTGCATGAAGATATATTGTTTTTTCTTTTTTTAACTGTTTTTAGGGGGGGGGAAAGACCCACCGTCATGTGAGAATGCTCAGACACGAAATCTATCCGCCCGAAAATAAGTGTGTGTGTGTGTGGGGGGATTTTAACAGAGGGAAGATGTAGGGAGAAGGCAAAAGCGACGGAAGATCCTTCAGGGGAAACTGTGGGGGAGACTCACCCTTGGTCCAGATGAGCCCCCTTCCCCGCCCCTAAGGAAGCAGAGGCAGCCAGCAAGGGCAGGCAAGCTCCACTTCACAGACTCCGTCCGTCCTCGCTCCCACCCACCCACCCAAAGCCACGAAGTCCCCCAATCGCGCAGCCCAGAATCGCCCTCCCCTCAGGGGGCAGCAATGACACCCGGTTTTTCCCGAGACAAGAAGCTCTGCCGTGCAATGAAAGCGCCCTGGCTTTAGGCTCGCGGGCTCAGAAAACAACGCGAGCCGAGGTGGCTTCAGCTCCGCTCAGCTTCTCCAACATCCGGCGCCGCCCTGTTCTATGTGCCGGGCCCGGCAAGTCCGAGCAGCCAGCACATAGAACAGGGCGGCGCCGGAGATCATTAGCCGCCTCTTTCACAGCACAAGAAGAACAAGGTGGTGCCGGACCATTGGAGAAGCGGAGCAAAGCCGGAGATTAGTAGCTGCCTTTCGGCGAAGAAAGGCAACCAGCTGGTTGGTCATCTCCTCCTCGGCCATACAGAACAAGCAGGCAGAGAAGGAGGAGAGCAGATGGCCAGTTGGGGGAGGCTTCTTGTGCTGCGAAAAAGGCGGCTAATGATCCCCAGCTCCGCTCGGCTTCTCCAACATCCGGCGCTGCCCTGTTCTATGTGCCGGGCCCGGCAAGTCCGAGCAGCCAGCGCGTGGAGCAGGGCGGCGCCGGAGATCGTTGGCTGCCTCTTTCGCAGCACGGGAGGCCTCCCCCGGCTGGCCAGCTGCTCTCCTCCTTCTCTGCCTGTTTGTTCTGTGTGGCCGAGGAGGAGGAGACCGGCCGGCTGGTTGGGGGAGGCTTTCTGCGCCGAGGGAGGCGGCTGCTGGTCTCCGGCTTTGCTCTGCTTCTCCGATGGTCCGGCGCCGCCCTGTTCTTTACTTGGGCAGCCGGGTGCCTGCAGCGGCGCCCACGGCGGCAACAGGCAGTTCCGCCCGGGCTCCGCTCAGGTGTCCGGCTGGGGCTGTCGGGAGTTGCTGCCGCCGGTGCGGCTCCGGTCCCGCGTTGCCTTGGGAAGGGTGGGGCAAAACCAGGAGCCGCTGAGCCTAAGCCTCCGGTGCCGCTGCTGCCATTGCAAAGCGCTGCCGCGGCTCTTCCTTTTTGCCTTTCCCTTCCCGAGGCGACGCGGGACTGGGGCCGCACCGGCGGTAGCAACTCCTGACTCAGGGGGCCTCCGAGGGGAGGGGAAGAGAGTGAATCCTGCCTCCCGCTGTCATCATCTTCTTCTTTTGGGTTAGTGAATCAATTAAACCTTTCATGATAGTGAGATCGTTTCCCAAATTAATTATTTTTATTTTTGAAATTTACCAGTAGCTGCTGCATTTCCCACCCTCGGCTTATACTCGAGTCAATAAGTTTTCCCAGTTTTTTGTGGTAAAATTAGGTGCCTCGGCTTATATTCGGGTCGACTTATACTCGAGTATATACGGTACATATATATATAAATTATATTACTTATGGTAGTATGTTTTCTGTAATCTAGGTTTCTTCTTTCAGTTAATTAATTCCATTTTGATTTTTTTAAAAAAATTATATAAGGTCTAGTTGAAACTCACCACACATTAAGTTATAAACTTCAATGTTTTCAAAAGATGTCACCTCATTTTTTTCCTTAAAGCCTGGCCCGTGTGCTACAAAGATAGCCTGAACAATAACAGAAAATGGATTTACTAAATAGCTGCCAGTTTTTATTTTTCATAAATAAAGTCAATGTTAATGTAGCTTTTTAAAAATTCAAGATATAAATACTGTCAATTTCAGATAGTTGACTTGTTAATTAAAAGCTTTCAACTAGTTAAAAACTCAATTAATTCCTACTCCTTTACTATAGAGGACACTCAACATAATTCACAATTTGCTTGTGCATCTACTTACCATGATCTGTACTGTAAACCTTGCAATAGTTACACTGAGTCTTAGCATTAAGTCTTTGCTTGGGACATGAGAAATGATTCAGCTCTTTTTCGGCTGAATGTTTCAACAGTGTTAATGGGATTACAGTCAATAGAAATTCTATCTTAAATGCAAGCAAATTACCTCTCTCCAACCTGAGGCCTGGGCATGTGACAAAAGCAAGCAAGTTCAGAGAACCCACTGCTGATATCTACCTCCATTACTGTCTAGATATTTTCTTATCTTACCCTCAACTTGGATATACATGTTGGATGTTATGGCTGTAAACTACCACATTCAAGATGACAAGCAGTAGATGTGGAAAATGAAATTCTCAAGAATATGTGGACCTTCATGAGAACTGTAATCATATCTGATCCAGTTGATCATGGTGTCATTCACACACTTTAATTTCCCCTTAATCATTTACTTCTCCAATCACCCTGAATAACTGTTTCTGAGAACCGGGCAATACTTTTGAACAAAACCAATGTGACATAGAAAACAAAAACAAAAGAGAAGCAATTGACAGATCTCTTACCTCCATACTTTTAAATTCATTGTCGTAGCCATGGGTTCCACCAGAACAATATCTATATTTTTTATTCCTAAATACACATATGCATAGAATGAATATATAGCAGTCAATTAGAAATACTAAGTTTTCCAATTTAGAGTTGTATCAAAAGAAGGCTTTTTTTTTCAATCAATGCAATGAAAAATGTTTTCTTCAGCAATGGTTGGCTGTTATCATTGCTTCAAAGAAGTTGTTACTATTTATGAACTATCTCTTCAGTAATGCCCCATGAATGGGATTTATCTGATCTCAGTAAATAAAATTGTCTCTAGAGCACTGTGGTATCATACATTTACTGCAAGATGCCTGCTTGGTTAGATACCTTTCAAGCAAAAACTAGTGGCATTAATGCATCAGCTGATGGAGAAACAAATGGGATAATTTTTCTAGAATAGTTGGCTTCATATCATGCTTCTTTACACTTACACCTCTGTACTACCCAGACACACATTTTGGGGTATGTAACATATATACATGCCATTCCTTGAGAAAAGAATTAGCCCTATACCAGCGTGCATCTAAGAAACATATTTAACAGATAAAAGGATAGTGATGAGTCAAAAAGCTCTTAACTCTCATCTGTAATGTGTATTTTAATCTAAGTTAAAATATCTTAGATGTGAGTCTTTTCCTCTGTGGTACTGAGGAGATTTGTCCTCATATTTTGACTAACTGCATTTCCCTGAATAGCTTACTCATTGAATAATTTCTATTTAAACACCCTTAACATCTTTCTTGGATTGCAATCTGGAAAATAAAGGAACATCCAGATAGAACTTTAATGTCCTGTCCTCCCCTAATTCCAGACATTGTTGATCATTTATTAACTTGTCATTTTAAGGCTGAGTAATGAGCAGATTTTCAACTTGGTAATTTTATTCTTGAAAGGCTTTAAAAAGACTTTCTACGTGGTTCCAAAATGAAGCTTGTGTGAGTCATCTGCCCTGACAGGTCAATGACAAGATGTGGCATATACCACCACTGCCCAAATATGTTAAGGAAATCTGTGCGCAAAAAGACTCAGTCTTAATCACTTTCTTTCCCAGTTCAATCATAATTAGGATGGCTTTAGAGAGGGATCCCAAAGGTGCTTTCTTTTTTTTCCAAGAGGCAGCTGGACTTTCTGGTTTTTCTTGGAAGTCATTTCACTTCTCATCCAAGAAACTTCTTCAACTCCAGAAGGAAAAAAAAGCACCTTTGGGATAACCATGACCTGGATGACTTAGAATCTCCACTGATATTTAGAGAGGGATGTTTCTCTAGTGTGAATAGTAGGAGAGAAGAAGGAACATCTCCCCACACCCTCTTCTCCTAGGTCACATATTCTTTGCAGTAATTCTGATTACCGATGGAAAATTAAGTCACAGTGATTTTGTGATCGATTGTGTGCCTGAATGTGGTGTGTAATTTTTTGGTCCTACCCATAAATTCCAACATGGAGTCTTAATCTGGTCTTCCAATTCCAAAACGTTTTCTACCTCTTTTCTTGGAGACATTCTATAAGCAAGCAATATAGCATAGATGCAGGTGGAGGTGTGCCTTTTTTAAAAAAAATCTAAATCACTTTTGGGTGTAGATGCAGGCAGTGGTGCTTTCAAAAAACAGTGGTACTGTACTAAGGGGCAGTATGTGAAAGAGGTGTACCAATCTCAGCAGGACTTGTTGACTATCCTTGGAAGTAAACAAAATAAGGGGCCTGAAATACAGGTAATCCTTGACATACAACTTTGCTTAGTGACCATAGTTACTACATAGTTACTATTTAGTTACAAATTACAATGGCACTGATAACTTACAAGTTATAACCAGGGGTGGGATCCGACAGGGTTAACTACCAGTTCGGTGATTTATGAGGTTCGGTGATTTATGATGTGCTTCCCTGCACGCTGTGCACGCCGGCCTGTAAATCGTCATCAGCACGCTGCGTGCAGAGAAGCAGCCTTTCAAAAAGCCCTTTTTTTCCTGCTTTTTTAACTGCAGCTGTGCCTCGCACGGCAGCTGAAGTTGAAAAAATCAGGAAATAAAGGTCAGGTAAGAGCCCAGGTTGGTGGGTGGGCAAAAACAGCAGCAGACATAGAACCAGTTCTATGTCTCCCGATCTTCAGAGCTACTGGTTCTACAGAGGTAGACAGAACCAGTAGAAACCCACCCCTGGTTATAACATAAGTTATAACTTATAACCATTTTTCACACTTACAACCATTGCAGCATCCCAGGGTCACATGATTTACATTCAGATGCTTGACAACTGGCTCAATATAGGACGGTTGCATGCTCTGGGGTTATGTGATCTCCTTTTGCAACAGGTGGGATTCAAATTTTTTTTACTACCAGTTCTGTGGGTGTGGTTAGGTGGGCATGGTTAGGTGGTCGTGACCATGTGACTGGGTGAGCGTGGCCCTTTTTTTGTAGCAACCCCCCCTCCAGTTTTTGGGCATTCTGGGCTTCAGGCAAGCCTCCTGGGGAGGGGGGCATTTTTGCTCCCAGAAAGCTTTCCTGTGGCCCAGGAAGGAAAAAAATGGAGCCAGGTGGGAGTGTGCAGCACACACACCCATGCTCCATTTTGGGCCCTTCTGGGCTTCAGGGAAGGCTCCTGGGGGGCGTTTTTGCTCCCAGGAAGCTTCCCTGGTGCCCAGGAAGCCAAAAAAAAATGGAGCACGGGGGGCAGGGGAGACTGTGCCCCCCCCTCCATTTTTTGCCTTCCTGGGCCTCAGGGAAACCTCCTGGGCAAAGCAGTAAGACAGCAAGGGGAACCCCGGCACAGCTGATCGTAGGAACGGCTGATTATCGGGAGAGGAAAAAAGAAATACCTTAAGAAGTGACTGGGCAGGGAAAAACACAGTCAGCAATGTCGGGCATGCGTGCGATGTTGCGCGCATGCCCGATAAGGACTGAATGGGCAGGGAGGGGTGGGGCAACTGGGTCAGGGGCGTGGTCAGCCAGAAGTTACTACCGGTTCAGCGACCCATGCCAAATTCTTTCTACCAATTTTCCCGAACCAGTGCAAACTGGATGAATACCAGCACTGTTTTGCAACCTTCTGACAAGCAAAGTCAATTCAGATTCACTTAACAACCGTGTCACTAATATAACAAGTGCAATGATTCACTTAACAAATGTGGCAAGAAAAGTTGTAAAATGGGGTAAAACTCCCTTAGCACATTTCTCACCTAGCAACATAAATTTGGTGGTCCATTGTGGTCGCAAGTTGAGGACTACCTGTAATGACTAGCATTTCTAAATTCTGAATGCAACAGTACCAGAGGAACCAATGCCAGGGAGATAATGGTGTTGGATTATTCAGATGGAAGCATTATATGAAAACCAGGGCTGCTCTAAAGTTGAACTTGATAAACTGTAAGTTGACTTAAAATTGTGGTTCAATGAAGGAAAACAGGGACAATCTACGACAATTATATGCTATAGAAGTTAGTCAAGCTTCATGATGACATTTCCTTTGGGAATGCAATTGCCAAACTGCAGGCATCCCAATAGGGAATTCTCTAATAAAGAGAATCAAGGCTAAATCAAGGCTTTATCTTTATCTTTTTATATAATAATAATAATAATAATAATAATAATAATAATAATAATAATAATAATAGTAATAATAGTAATAATAGTAATAATAGTAATAATAGTAATGAATAAAAATATATGTTTATATATTTATAAAAACATGTAGGCTATCATTATTGTAATAGCAAGTGACATATAAAGAAGAATGTGGACTTTTTATGGGATTCCTGCAATAGACCCAAAAAATAAGGCCAAATGTCCTTAAAAAATGTCAAGCCAGCACAGGGATTACAAAAACAAAGTAAAATACAGACAAAGGAACAGAGAGATTAGCCTTCCATGTTTTGATTTGCAAAGGAAAACAAGATCTATTCTGTTCAGGCTCGGTGACTGTTTTATTTTTCAGGTGCTATTGAATGCCCTATTTTGAATTTTGCCTCACTTTAAATTATTTTGTAATTTGTTCCTAAGGCAGTTATGACAGCCTTTTGGATATATTAAAGACTTATCAAGATTTCAATATTAAATAATGCTACACCATGAATTGCTTTATCTGATTTCTTTTGGAAGTTTTTTTTTCCACCAAGAGACAAATCCTGTTTGGAACATCTGGTTTCCTGTCCAGCAACAAACTCCAGAAATAAATCACAACTATGGTGTAACATTAAGAGGTTGCCAATGTAGCAGCCTTTCTCAATAATCATGCTGGATGGGGGAATAACAGGCACTATGCTTCAAAAGCCTGAAATATACTTTTCTGAGATACATCTCTTGCATTATGAAACTTTGCTACATGTTATTTATGTAGCAATCACATAGCTGTATGATTTCATTTCTTTTTCTTTTTTATCTGTTAAGTAATGAAAGGAATCTACTACCTCAGTTTTTTGGAAGATAACAGGATGTTATACCATAATTCTTCTTAATTGGCTGGAACTACTCCAGAATTACTCAACAAGAAAAGTATATGCATTTCCTTATCACTTTTTCAGGAAATGTACTTTCATTATAAGTACTCATATACCAGTTTACAGAGAAATTAAAATAACAACAACAACAACCCTGTAAAATAATAAACTGAAAAATAACAAAGTAAAATTAATTAGCACAATTAAAAAAAAACCTAGGCTGAATGTAAAGGGTGTCTCCTAATACCAAACTGACCAAAGCCAGGACTTCAAGCAAGAAGAAAATACCATATGCAAACTGTGTAAACTCAAAGGATCCTTAGGAATACAGTCTTATAAAAGTTGCTGATTTACAACTTTCAGCATTGCTGAGAATTAGCCTTTGTTGTCAGGGTCACAGAGCATTGTTTTCCACCTCTACTTTATCTAATTTCCACTTGCCTACTCCTGGCCATCCGATGCACTCAGGAAGTACAAAGTTCAAACGCTTGAGACTGTAACTTCACCTATAATCCTTCTTCCTATAGTGACAGCAAGCTATAGGAAGACCAAGGTGTTGGTTTAAATATTAATTATTATTCTGATCCTAAAATTTACTATTAACACAGACAAGGCCCTGGTGCAGAGGTGGTATTCAACAGATTCTGACCAGTTCTGGAGAACCGGTAGCGGAAATTTTGAGTAGTTCAGAGAACCATCAAATACCACCTCTGATTGGCGCTACCCCCATCTATTCTCTGCCTCCCGAGTCCCAGCTGATTGGCTCGGTCTCATTTGTTGCCCTGCATAGGAGAATGGAGCTGGAAAGCAGGTTAGTGGGGTGGGGAGGGAATGGGGATTTTACAGTATTCTTCCCTTGCCATGCCCATCGAGCCACGCCCACAGAACCAGTAGTAAAAAAAATTTGAATCCCACCAGTGCCCTGGTGGGATTACGCTCTCAAACATTTGGATTTTGCAGCATACAGCAGAGGATTGGGATAAGGAAGTCACTGAGGAGAAGTCAGTCATTTTTCTATCTAGGTAGTCCTCAACTTTCTATCTAGGTAGTCCTCAACTTGCTTAGTGACCGTTCAAAATTACAATGGCACTAAAATAATTCACTTACAACCGTTTTTCACACTTACAACCATTGCAGCATTCCTATGGTAAAAATGACCAAAATCTAGATGTTTGGCAACTGATTCATATTTATGACATTTACAGTATCCAAGGTCATGTGATTCCCTTTTGCGACCTTCTGACCAGCAAAGTTAATACGGAAGCCAGATTCACTTAACAACCATGTTACTAAGTTAACAACTCCCTTAACAATTGCTTCAAAAAAGACTGTAAAATGGGGCAAAACTCACTTAACAACTCTCTCGCTTAGCAACAGAAATGTTGGGCTCAGTGGTGCGTTTCAAATATGTTTACCACCGGTTTGGTGGGCATGGCTTGGTGGGCGCGCTTTGCGCACAAGCACACTCTTTGCACACACGCATGCACCAAACACGCACTTTGTGCAGGCGCAGAGGCTTTCTGACTCAACTCTTGCAAGCCTGCACTCTGCCTGTTGCTTCAGCAGCTGCCGCGTGGCAATATGCTGGCCGCGCAAAACAGCTGCACTTCAAAAGCAGGACATAAAGGTTAGTATGGGAGTCTGGGTAGACAGGTGGACAGGTGGGCCCAACAGTAGAGCATCGGAAAGGTTTGGTCTCCACTGCTCATCAGCGCTACCAGCTCAGCAGAACCAGGCCAAACCAGTAGAATACCACCACTGGCTGGGCTCTATTGTGGTCATAAGTTGAGGACTACTTATATTCTGTTTCTTCTCACAAGAGGAACCAGCCTCGCAATCATTTTCTAACTCAGAAGATAAGCCTTCTGTGGACACGTTATCATTTTAACCTAACAGAAGTCTGACAGAAATCTTTCATAATTCAGATCTACAGAGCACTTTGTGGCCAGGTGAACCTGCTCATAGTACAGGTTATGATTTCTAAATAAATCTTCATTTGGCTTTGGAATATTGCTGAGACAAGATCCTTCTATTATTCTAAGAGAGAAGTAGTACAATTACCTGCAGAAAGCGTTTTTCTCTCTTCATTTGTCTATCTTTATCTGTCACGCCTGATTTTCCATATAAGTTTCATGCAGTCACTGAGGACAACATATTAATCCTCACAGCATTTGGAATCAAGTAGATAATAAAAATAAAACTTCTACATTTATAAGTAAATGTACATATTAAAAATAACATGTTGTTGCCTTCCTACAGTACATCTAAAACTGGCCCCATTTTATCATTTAATAAAAAGTTAAGCCATGCCTATATGTTGGTCTTTATACGGTACCTCACGGCCAACCACTGTCGATCAACCATCAGATTAACTTTGTCAATGCGAATGTTGTTAGCAAAGTGTAGTCTCTTTGGAAGGTCTTTGGCCAAGTAAGCTTTAAAGTGCTGTTTTGGCTTTCGGCACTGAAAAGGTAAAAGTGAAATGCTAAGTTTTGCAGCATCACAGAATTAAAAAATAAAATATGAAAAAAAACCATGTTTTCAATGCAACTATCGCTATGTTGCCCATCTTACTTTCTCTGCAAAAGGACCTTTTGTAAATTCTTCAAAAGAATCTCTATAAACAAGAATTGGATTGATAAAGGAATGCTAGATTACTTTTTGTTATGTGTAACAGTGAATCCAATAGGTGGATGAAATGCTCCACAAGCCCAGTTAATTACTTCAATATATAGGGCTCTGTGTGTGTGTTGCATGTGTTTTGTGTGTGTGTGGGTGGGTGGGTGTTATTGCCTGTCAATCTATCAGTAATTCTTGAGTTAAATCCTAAGGAAATCTGGTCATTAAAGTCGTAATTAGTGACAGTTGCAACATGAGTCATAAAACAGGACTAACCCAATTTTGCAACCTTTCTTGTGGTGGTTGTTAAGTTATGTTAAGTTATGTTATGTTTGAGGCATTGCAAATGGCAATTTCACCCTAACCTGATTACCAAGTGCCCAAAGTGTAGCCCTATGACCATGGGGTGCTAGCTCACAAACTCAGGAAAACAGGTTAAGAATATGTAAATTTCAACCTGTTCCAGAACGTAATGATTCATTGATCATTCAAAACTTCTTCGTCCTCTAAAAAACACAGTAACAGATCTTAAGGGTTGTTTTTTTACCTAATGTAGACTGAACTTAGCAATTTTAGCTTTACATCTATCACAGATGACAATTATATGAGACAATAGTATCAGCGGGATACTAGAAAAATAGTGTATTTTACTTTACCTTCCATATGATGGTTGCCTTTTAAAGCAAGAGTAAGATACATTCACACCCAAATGTTAGGCATCACTGGTCAAAATATGTTTTAGTCAAACCCAAGTGAACAGAACCTGACACATCAACTATATGACATGGGCTTAAACATGGCAAGCTTTCTGAAAATTTAAAAGCATGCTACATGCAATTTTTTTCAGGTTCAAGACAAGAAAACAAAGGGTAGGATAGATTCAGAAGTCAGAGCAACCTTTCATCTTTGGTGAAAATGCTACATAATGGTATATAAAATGCACAATGACTAAGTGGCTGAATTCAATAACTGCAGTATCTAAACTATCCCTAGAGATATGAGAACCGAACACAGCCACGTCTATTATGAAGTGATGAAAGATTCAGAATCTTTCATCCAACCTTCATTAGTTCATAATCTTCATTCAGTTCTATGCATAGCCTCTCTCAAAGAAAACAGTAACAATGTGCTAAATAAATTATATTTCAGCAGTGATGCCGTCACAAAATTCTTGTTATTATTATTTTATTATTATTATTTTCTTAGGAAGAAGAAGAATAAAAACATACTCACTGTAAGATTTTTAACAATTGCTTCAGAATCAACTGTTTGGGAGAAAAGAAATGTTATGCAGTATGTATAATGTATTACTTTCAAACATTAAACTATCAATTTGTCTTCTTCAAATATGGTGCATCAAACCCATGGTAGTTGCATTTTTAAGGTATTAAGCCTTTCTGAAATATTCATCCAATGGTATTTGCAACTGTTGGCTTTAGCTTCCATCTGAAAACCACATTTACATTATTCAGCAATTTGCCACCAAATTTTAGTGTTGAAATTTCTGGAGGTTACAGCAATTGAAAAAAAGAGATTCACACAACCTAAGCTCTTGTGGGTGGCAGGTGACATTGCTCTAAGTAAGGAAGATGCCCTAGAATCGAATGTTCTACTAAGCCTCTCATTTAAATTCTACAGTTTTATGAATTTGTGGTCTAAACTTACATGTATAAAAGTCTTTTGGAACATTTTTTGATCGAATACGAGGTGCTGCACCTTCATACATAAAAAAATCAACTGTATTAAAATAATCTGTCATGTATTCCAGCCGGTTACAAGATATTGCCTCCATGCCTAAAGAAAGGAGAGGAAAATGGTAGATAATTGAACAAACATTGAATTCCTACAGTTGACAAAGCTCTTTATTAAAAGAGTGAAGCATAAAGCAATGTTACCATGATCAGCCAGAAGGATAAGATTGACACAATTATGCAGATTCCTTTGCTTTAGGCCTTCCATCAACATTCCCAGGGTCCGATCTGCCATTTGTAAAGACTTAATTATCTATGCCAAAAAGAAAAAGGGTAACGGGCATCTTATCATACATGTTAAATCAAAGATTGCAATCAGGTCTAGCACAATAAACAATACAATAATAAAGAGAAATCATTTTTGAGTTACAGGTTGTATTATTGGTTCCTAATTTTTAATTGGATTACATTTATAAAAAGCAATAAACATTTGTATGCATTATATTCGTCAAAGTAAAATATACCACCCAGCACAATATTTACACAGTTGTTCTACATTGTCCAGTAATTATTTTATTGTTTATTTTATGAGAATAAATATTAAACAAGTAATATGGCAAAAATAAAAATTGAGATATATCACATGACTTGCAAATTGGTCTATACTTTGTCTGCTTGTTTCCTTATTATTTTTGCTTGTTTCCTGAGTTGTTGGGAGTGTGCATTGTAGTGCGTCAGTTCCTAGAGGCTCAGACTATGAGAGGACTATCTATAAAACCTAAATTGCGAACCCAATTGAGCCCAAAATTTCTGTTGCTAAGTGAAACAGTTGTTAAGTGAATTTTGCCCCATTTTACGACCTTTCTTGCTACAGTTGTTATGTGAATCACTGCCGTTGTTAAGTTACTAAAAAAGTGTTAAGTGGATCTGGCTTTTCCAGATTCTGACACTTCGTTTGTCAGAAGGTCACAAAAGATGACCATAGCTTCAGAGCTGCGGTGGCGCAGTGGTTAGAGTGCAGTACTGCAGGCTACTCCTGCTGACTGCCAGCTACCTTCAATTTGGCAGTTCAAATCTCACCAGGCTCAAGGTTGACTCAGCTTTCCATTCTTCCGAGGTTGGTAAAATGAGGACCCAGAATTGTTGGGGGCAATAGACTGACTCTGTAAACTGCTTAGAGAGTACTGTAAAGCACTGTAAAGCAGTATATAAGTTAAATGCTATTGCTATATGACCCAGGGATGCTGACACCGTCATAACATATGATTCAGTTGCCAAGGGTCTGAATTTTGATCACATGACTATGGGGATGCTACAATGGCCGTAAGGGTGAAAAATGGTCATAAGTCACTTTAAGTGCTGTTGTAACTTTGAGCGGTCACTAAATGAACTATTGTAAGTCAAGGACTACCTGTACAATGCAATAAAAATACCGCTTGGTGTTTAACGTGGAACAGCTCAGCTTTTACAATATATCATTCTACCAGTGGTTTTTTTTTACATCTATCAAAGAAAAAGAAAAGAACATGTGCCATTGCTATACGTTATATCTATATATGCCAACTAAAGTTTAACTTAAGCCACACTCCTTTAAATTCAGAATGAGAGAGACAGAGACAGAGAGAGGGAGAGGGAGGGAGGGAGGGAGGGAGAGGGAGGGAGGGAGGGAGGGAGGGAGGGAGAGGGAGAGAAGATGCTTACTTGTCCACTAACAGGTCCAAATTTATGTCCAGTTGTGTCCGGTTCCTCAATATACAATGTGGAGAATTCTGGCCTGCAGATTAAAAAGAAATAATGGTCATTATTTTTAGGAAATTTCACCTCATCCAAAGATACATTGTTAATTAACATGTTGCCCAGATAGTTTGAAATTCAATGGTGGCTGGCTATCTTCTCCTAGAGCCGTGATGGCGAACCTATGACACATATGCCGGAAGTGGCACACAGAGCCAACTCTCCGGGCACTCCAGCCATTGCCCGTTGCTCTTCCAGCTGGTCTTCGCACATGCGGGAGCACCGGAAACCAGAAGAGCAGCTCCCCAGTGTGCGCGCCAGAAACTAGAAGACCAGGTAGCCGGCACGCATGTACACACCATAAACCAGAAGCTCAGCTTCCCAAATCGCACATGCGCACTGAAGAACTGCTCTTCCAGTTTTTGGAGCGCTCCCCTCCCCGTGCGTTTGTGTTCCCGTTTCAGCACTCAGTGCCAAAAAGTTTCGCCAACACTGTCCTAGAGCTAAAAGTTCAGAGTCAGATTGAACACCGAACTAGCTAGGAGAACAAAAAATAAGAGAGGAAATTATTGAAAACAAAGGACAACATGGAACAAACATCCCCAGAACCACGACGCTGCTTGGATTGTTTTCTCTCAGTTCTGGAAATGGAAGAAAGGGCCAAAATCTGAATAACCACAAGATGGCAGGAGGTTAGAGGTTTTGGTACCTCTTTGTGCCATTCAGTGATTAGCAGATTTTTGCAGTTCAGTTAAAGTCGCCTCAGAGAAGTTGCAAGAAGATGGCAACATTTAGTTTTTGAAGATTAAAAAAAAGGGGGTGAGGAGGAGCAGATGACAGTAAGAGAAACCATGCTTCTTAGTTGACAGCAGATAATTAGCTGCCTCGCTTAGCATTTTATAAGAACAGAGAATGTTGTTTCATAAGCTTTCGTGGCTATTACCTCTTAGCTTTGGGGAGATCTAGCCACTTTAGCACCTCCATAACTCTTGCTTCAAATGGAGTTGATCTATAAGGAATAAAAATATTATTTTTATTGGTGGCAAGGAGGACTTTGTTTTGGTGGACATGTCAACAACATGTTTTTATGCCAATAGCAAGGAAGACAATCAGCACTCTCCAACCTTCCCATTATGAAACATTGGTTAATTTTTTGTGTGAGTGACAGATGTCATTCTGTACAAATGCTTTTATAAAGCAAAACCCAGGCTGCTAATTGCAAACGCAAAGCCGCAACCGGGTAGACTTTATGTTGCAATGTGAACATAAATCAAAAGTAAACACTGTAGGAAAAAAATACTTAAGAGTAAACACTGCTGTAAAAGTAATGTATACAAAAAAGGCCCAAGCAAAACACAGTCCCTTCCAATTCCCTGCAATAAACAAGGCATGAAATATTCTTTCCATGCAGCCCTCCTGTCTTCTTGTTTGGGATAGAGTCGGTAGAGTATGGCAGGAAGGAGATGAAAAATGGTTTCAAAATGTCAAAGCAAAGCAGAGACATTTTGAGTCCATTCTGTGGCCTGAAATCTGAATTTCTCACCAAAATAATATCACCACTTAGTATATCCAGCACTCTCCATCAAGCAATATTTATAAAACAACTACATTGGAATTATAAGCCTGTTAGTATTAAGATGGACAGCCCATTGAATAAAGTAGAACAGAAGCTGCATTTTTCCTAGCAGATTTAAGCTGAAGGCTGACCCTTCAATTAAGCAGAGCAAGAAGATGCCTCAACCAGCAGGAGGCAGCAAGGTGTCAGAGGTGAGAGATGCCGCTTCCCCCACACCTTGTCAGTTACAGGATGCCCTTCAAGCCAACAGAACATTTTTATGCTAATGCCAGGAATGAAAAAGGTGCCAACCATCTTTTAGGCAATTGTTGCACATGACAGAAGAATGAAAAGTGTTCCTCTCCCATTCTTCAAACCCAGCCTGATATATGTTCCCTTTATGTATTTATAATACAAAGCTTTCTTAATGCAGACATTATTTAATGTGTGGGAATGGAAAGGACCATGCAGATCTTTGAAGAGATACTTTCCTTCAGTGGCTGCATGAACGAAGCACCCATTCATATCAACCACAGCCATGTCTGTGTAATCATTAGCAGCTGAGCTTCATTCAAGGATGTCATTCTTGGTAAAGGCTTACTGAATAATGAGTTGGAAACGGCAAAATGAATGAAGCATCAATTCAGTACCAGTTTCCCATTACTGTAATACATTTTCACGTACTTCAGGTGTCCTATGGATTAAAAAAGTATATCCCCATAAAGAAATATGTAGCTGATAGAACCAATGTATTTATTTTTTTCATCTTTAACTCACTTGTTATACACTTTGTATATAGTTGGGAAAGATCCATTTATTTTTACTTCAGATCCAGGCCAAAAGTAGGTGGCTGCTTTCAAACCTTGAGAGGTTGCTGTATGCCAAATCTGCAAGAAGTGTGCACAGAATCAGTACCTTAAAAATGAGCAAACTGTAAAACCTCACGTCTAAACACCTCTGCAGGCAGCCCCCAGATTAAGAATGCCCAGTTTAAAGACAACTAATAGGGCTGTCTGTTACAAAATGACAGAGAGTTAACCTGTTACAATAGTTAAAATGCCAGACAGCTATCAGAAGCATGGTCTGACTCAAAATAGTGGATGGCATTCTCCTTTCTTGAACCAATGAAGTTGTTAAAGCTGTGCCATGCTTTCATGAGTGTCACAAAGTAGAGTGTGCTTTTTTAATACAGGATTCGGCCTTTTTTCAGCAGTTCATGAAAGTATTGTGCAGCTTCAGAGGATCAACTGCTAAAGGAAGGAGAATTCTGTCCATCGTTTTGAGTTAGATCATTTTTGCCTTCACTGAAGTTACTTATGACTGATCTTTGTGACGGTTGCAGCATCTCGACAGTCTTGTATCCAAAATTTGGACGGTGAGAGATTGAATTCCACTGAGGTTTTCTTGCTTTGGATTCTCTTTGTTGGAAGTCAGTTTTTCCCATAACCTAGTTTTAAAATATGAAACTTAAACATTTAAACTTTATATAGAACTTTGGTTACAACTTTGATGTTGTTGTTGATCCCTGATATGCAGAAGTACAGGTATGGCAATCTTTTCCCATTTAAATGCAAATTCTGTTTAAAATCACTCTTAATCCAAGACTCCCTATACTCACTTATCAGCAATTTTTAGAAATGAAATGTACTTTACTATGGGCCAATCAAAACTGAAATCTATAAAGCCAGGTTGATTTTTTTACACGGGGACCTTCCCTATTTCTGTTTCCCTACTAAGGAACTATAACATCTTCAGAGCATCACCCTGCTGCCTTGAAATTATATGTGAAGTCTATTTGAATTACTGTTATTTCAATACAACAATAGAATTTGCTATTGGGAAATAAAGTATATCTACACCAAGGAACAAAACTAAAGATACATACAGGTTGTCCACCCCACCAGGCAGGATTTCTCATGTTCGTTCCAGAAAGTGAGAAGTTCTGATTTAAATTCACGTCATACATATTATTGTCAATAATGCCATGGGTTTCTGCATACAAGCCCTGAGGAAAAAAGATACATATTACTGCAGATAAATGTGCTGTTTAACATTTCCTCTAGGATTTGTGCTATTGGAGTGCACTGCTGAAGTGGAATAGGGTTTCCTGCTTGAGAAATTACTAATTTAAAATTTAATAACTATAAATTGCAAATTACCTACAGGAAAAAAAAAACAATTTTCTGCATATAATGTAAAACCTTATTTTCAAGCATGCCTCTGAGTCTCACTAGAATTCTGGAGCATACTTAGAAAACCCTAATGATTGATGGCCAACACTTAGATTAAATGTAGACCTACTTAGATAGAGCAAAGAAGAAAAAAAGTAATTAAAAAACTAAGAGGTCTGTAGGGGGCGTGCATAAGCACACCAACGTGCCTATCGTCCCTGTCCTATTGTTTCTTTTTATTTTTCTTACATGTATCCATTTCATGTATTCATAACTATGTTTATACTTATACCTGTTATCTTATAATCGCTTGACAAAATAAAATAAATAAAAAATAAATAATTGCTAATGATACAAAGAATCTTGAGGGCTAGACGTGGTTGTGGGAAAACAGTATCACATGTTTGTATTTCAACAAATCGATGTTTTGTGAATGACTATAAGCCATAGTAGTAGACAATTTTTTGAAAGTGACCATAATATTATCTCAAAATTTAAAATGAGGGCCTCTCCCAATCTGATCCTCTCTGGATATGTTCAACTACAGAAAAGATTAGAAGAGGTATCTCTTTCCAGACTATACAAATACACTTCAAGAGTTTCCCACTCAAGTTTCCCATAAAAATAATGTGAAAGTCACCCAGACCAACATTTCACAGATGAAATTTAGAGAAATGAGGAAAAAATAGCTTATCATTTCAACTGGTTCTTCTTTGCTGCTGCTGTTAGTTAGTTAGTTAGTTAGTTAGTTTTTGCATTGGGTCTTTGAGAAAACATTTATATTGTTTGATTTCTTATTATCGAAGGACAGAGGTCAATTCATATAATAGCAATAGCAAATAAAATATATATGGTAAATGCCCAAGCAAATACTTACTGTAACAATAGTGTAGTGGTTTACAAAGGTTTTGGTTGGATAAACAGCTCTCATGTATTTGGCATGAGTCCCACAAGTTTCTACAATCAAATAGGATATATACAATGAGAACTACCCATGTTTATATCAAGGGATTTTTTTTTTCACATCTCCCTCTCCCCACCCTTACTTTAGTCAAAACGGTTCAGTCCAATTGGAAAAGGACAAGAAATTTTAGCACAAGCTTATGTGGGCTTTTCCTAGAGGCATCCCTCCCCTGCCCCGGAATATCAATAAGGCAGAAACAGTCCTTAAACAAAGAATGTTAGATGTGGGCATGAGGATAAAATAAGTCAACTTCCATTCAGTGTAATGATTGGTAATCAATTCAACTGCTCTAGGAAGGGAAGGAATGATTGGATGGAATATCTTATGCAGGACACTCCATTTGTTGCATCTTTCAAGTTGCAGAAAGTTATCATTCATTATAAATCTTTATAAAATAGTTTATTACTTACTAAGCTTGTTGATATTGGGCATTAAACTATCCCAGGTTTCCAAATATTCAGCCCTAAAGCCATCCATTGAAAAAAGAATAAGTGGGGACTGATCAAACCTAAAAGAAACCACAACATACATAATTTACTATGTGTTGGCAGCCTTATAGCAATTACATGCTAAACAAAACATTATTTACAAAAATATTGTATATCTTTCAGTCTGGGGTATTTGTGTGAAGTGTTAAAGTGTGCAAGGTGAGGGTCATCAGGATTCATTAGCATAATGACAGACACCCTATTCCTTTAGGATATTTGTCATCCTGTAGATTTTCAGAGAGAGAGAGAGAGAAAGAGACAGAAAAAGACATAGACAGAGACCTTAGGATTTCCTTGATTTCAGGAGTACAGTATTTTGATGTAGGATGTAAAAGAATTTACAGTAATCATGAATTTCACTGGAAGCCAATATGAACACTCCACTACAACTGGAATAAACCTAGATCAAGCTGTGTTCTGTCTTGTTTCTTTTAATTCCCTGGCAGGAAAATGTGCCTGAAAAAAAGATATAATGCTGAAAGCTAGACAGTACAACAGAACTTTATAAAAGCAAACAAAAAGAAAGAAAAAAACCTGAGGAAAGGTTATAGTGTAAACACATGGAATAAAAATATTCAGATTGTAATGGTTTTAGAATTAGCTACGTTGCTCTTTTAACTTTCAAAAATAGAAATCAGATTTATAGCTTTGCAGAAGCCTAGTGATCAAGGTTCAGATTCCTGTGCATTCTGACAACTTGGTAGAGTCCAAAGTTTACAAAAAAAAAATATGCTGACTATTTTTAATTGAATTAAAAATTTGAATTGTTACTGATGATGAGTCAGTAGTAAAACTCATGCATACATAATAATGAAGAGAACTTGGGATTGGTACAACAAGTAAAAGTAAAAATTTGCTGCAAAATATATTTTTAAACTCAGTCTTCCCGAACTTGAATTAAACTTCGTCTGTACTGTGAGAGTTAAGTTCAACATTTCTGGAGAGCACAAGCTTGAGAATCAATAATAAAAGTATTTACCCTTCACTATATAATCTATTTCCTTATTATGTCACAAGTGATTTATCCATTTAAGAACTGTCAACATAGCTTAGAAAGTGTGGTCACTGCCCTGCAACCACAGGTATAAGGGAAATAATGCATTTATATAGCCATATGTTCAATTCAAACCTCCTCAATCTTACAGATGTTCAAATATGTCTTCATTACAGTCTATTGGTTTATCATTAAAGACAAACTTTACTGGAAGAGGCATATGTATTAAAGTTCAGTAACAGTTTCTTGGTAGCTGAAAGAGTTGATTACATCTCAGTTTAAGATTCAAACTAAATATCACATGCAAATGAATATGATACTGAAAGATTTAAAATAGATAATAGAAGAATGGCTCAAGGTGCTGGCTTTTTTTCTGGTATTCTCTCTCCTAAAGGTGCTTGTCCTTCCAGAAGAATCAAAACTAATCTTTGCAATGCTGTTTAAAAAGACCCTATGCTAAACTTCTCAGGAATGTTAAGCCAAAACACAGTGGGAAGATGCAACCACTGTACCATTCTTGCTTTTGGTTTTGTAGTTTTTTACTAGCCTTGTTAATATTTTAGTATTTTTATTTTTATGGTTTTACAGATACAGATAATCAGAGTTGGAAAGGACCTTGTAGGTCATCTAGTCCAACCCCCTGCCCAAGCAAGAGACCCTACACCATTTCTGACAAATGGCAGTCCAATCTCTTCTTGAAAGTCTCAACTGATGGTGCTCCCACAACTTCCAAGGGCAAGCTGTTCCATTGGTTGATTGTTCTCACTGTCAGAAAGTTTCTCCTTGTTTCCAGGTTAAATCTCTCCTTGTTCAGTTTCCATCCATTATTCCTTGACCCCTTCCTCTCTGTGGCAGCCCCTCAAATATTGGAAGACCGCTATCATGTCTCCCTTGGTCCTTCTCTTTACTAGACTAGTCAAGCCCAGTTCTTGCAACTGTTTGTTGTATGTTTTAGCCTCCAGTCCCCTAATCATCCTGGTTGCTCTTCTCTGTACTTTTTCTAGAGTCTCAACATCTTTTTTATAATGTGGTGAACAAAACTGGATGCAGTACTCTAGGTGTGGTCTTACTAAGGCTTTATAGAGTGGTATTAGTACTTCCCTTGATCTTGACTGTATCCTTCTTGACTGTATCCCTTGTTAATACAACTTAGGATTGCATTATCTTTTTTCGCAGCTGCTGCACACTGCTGGCTCATATTTAGCTGGTTTTCCACTAACACTCCAAGATCCCTCTCACAGTTACTGCTATTGAGCCTGGTTTCACCCAGTCTATATGTGTACTTTTGGTTTTTCTTGCCTAAGTGTAGGACTTTACTTTTCTCTACATTGAATTTCATTTTGTTAGATATGGCCCAGTGTTCTAGTCTGTCAAGATCCATGTGGATCTTGAACCTATCTTCTTGGGTGTTAGCTATTCCTGCCACCTTAGTATCATCTGCAAATTTGGTAAGTTCCCCTTCTATTCTCTCATCTAAGTCGTTAATGAAGGTATTGAAGAGTACTGGGCCTAAGACGGAACCTTGTGGCACCCCACTGCTTACTTCCCTCCATATGGACTTAGACCCATTAAGGACTACTCGTTGAGTACGGTTTGCCAGCCAGATGCGAATCCATCTAGTGGTGGTGCTATCTATTCCACTTTTTTCTAGCTTACTAAGAAGTAGGTTGTGGTCTACTTTATCGAATGCCTTGCTGAAATCTAAATATATTATGTCCACAGTATTTTGCTGGTCTACTAATTTAGTCACTGTGTTGAAGAATGAAATAAGATTGGTGTAAGCCAATGTTTTAATTGTAAGCCACCCTGAGTCACTTTGTAGAGTGAGATGGGTTGTATATAAATGTAATAAGTAAATAATAAATAAATATAACTTAATTAAATAAATAAATACAATCCTTACAACTAGAATCATATATAATATTTGAGAAGGAGCACATGGGATCTACGCTCAGAGTGAAGGTAGCAGGCTGATTCATCTCTCTTATAATATTATAAACATGATATAATGGGCAATCTAACAGTGCTTTCTCATCTCTTCATATTATGGACAATGCTGCAACTGGGCGTGGAACTTACAATTGGGTTTTTATTTAAAAGGTGTTTTTGCCAAGTATGTCAATACCAATACAAGGGTAACAGTACAGTGCTGAGCTAGAATCAAGAAGTTCCCAACTGAATTTCTGAAACCATTATGCTGACCTTCAAGCTATAGTGTAAATAGGCCTAAATTTCCTTTAGACCATGGGTCTTCAAACTTGACAGCTTTAAAACTTGTGCACTTCAACTCCAGGAATTCCTCCTCCAGTCATGTTAGCTCAGGAATTCTGGGAGCTTAAGTCCACAAGTCTTAAACTTCCCAAGTTTGAAGACCCTTGCTTTAGACAATGTTGGGAAACTCCAGCCAGACAGGGAGGAGGATTCAAGAAAGTCACTAGCCTTAAGTCCTTGTGTAGCTTGCAAGAGGCACAATCCTGACACATCCTCCTCCCTCAATTAAATTCCATGAAACTTTATTTGGTCGTTCCCAAAGGAAAGCAACTAGTCTGAGGATATTTTTTTAATGTAGGTAGAATACAATAAATGTGCTGATTTTGAACCTTTCACCAGTGGATCTGGCTACTTATGCCTGATATGTAGGCAAGGTATAAATGTTCTGAACATAGCTGTTTCAGTTTTGATATGATGCATTAACATCAGTCTCATGTATTGTTCTAAAAGAGAAAAGTCAAGAGGCAATTTACCCGAACACAATGCAAAGGGAAACACTGAAGATGTGACCAGTTGATCCAGTTTTGATGTGACAAGGGTATAACAAGGATTATTTTAAAGGAAGGAAAGCCAAGAGACATAATTTCCCAGAACACATACAAAGGGAAGCATTGAAGGTTGGATCAACTCAAAGCAAACTGGGGAAAATGAAAGCAAACAGCACAGAACAAGACAGTACAGTACAGCACAGAAGAAGACAGAACAGGCTACCTTCTCATGACCTCCTACCTCATATCAGCTTCCCTGCAGATATTTGTGCACTCAGTGCAAATCATGGCAAGAGGAAAGTCAATGTGTATATGGTTTGACCTCCGTCTGCTTCCCTATGAGTCAGGAGCTGCACAATAGGAATGCTCACTCAAGTGGAAGCCAAGACAGGGGTAGTTTTTATGACAATAAGTGGGCAGCGGAAGGGTGAGAGTATCATTTAGACAGATTATTCATTACATGTTAAATGTTCCATTTTAATAAAGTCTGCATAACAATGGCATTTTAAATATTTTAAATATTTTAACAATCCCTGTGACATGAAGATTGTTCATATTACTTTCCTCATTCTCAAGACATTGGTTTCAATTAAACATATAATAATGTATTGCTCAATACACAGATAGAATATTAATTTTCTTGCAGGGTTTCCATTACATTTTGTTATTCTTTCTCCAAAGCAAGTAGCGTTGAAGGTGGTGTAGCATAGATAACAGCATGGAATATTGATTAAAGACTAGGATCTAGAACAGTGATTCTCAACCATAGCAACTTTGAGATGGGTGGATTTCAATTGCAGGCTGAGGGATTCTGGGAGTTGAAATGATATCTCTTGAAGTTGCTGAGGATGATAAACACTGATCTTGAAGATCCAGGTACAAGTCCGTCATCAACTTAGTAGTTTTCTGGGTGAGTTTGGGCCGATCATTCTCAGCCCGATCTATGTCACAAGCAGTGGTGGGATTCAGCCAGTTCATACCACTGGGAGAACCAGTTGTTAACTTTCTGAGCAGTTTGGTGAATTGGTTGTTGGAAGAAATCATTAGGGCAGAGAACCAGTTGTTAAATTATTTGAATCCCACCACTGGTCACAAGATAATTGCAGTGGGAAAAAGCAGGAAGTAGATTTATATACAATATGCTAGTCAAGTTCTCGAACAAAAACAAGGATATGAATAAGAAATAAATACTTATATGAACAAAACAAAACTATGATGACTTATAATACATGGGAATTAAGATGATTAAACAGTTGTTCATTGTACTGGAACACACAAAGAAATTCCAGTAAAGGATTACCAAATGAGAGGACATGTCATAACAGAAATGATGTATTTGTATAAAAGAAAAAAAATGGAGAGAAAAGTGGAAAAGTGCATAAAGGACAAGAAGAAATGAAATCAGTTTATTATAGTTGAACTCAGCTGAATTGAGTTTTTGATTGTAAGCTACCCAGTCATTAAGGTGAGATGGGCGATGCAGAAATTTGTTGAATAAATAAATAATTAAAAAACAGGTCTGGTACCTATAAAACTTATAACAAGTGAATGACAGTGTAGAGATCCTACTTCCACCCCACCAAAAATAACAGTGGTAATAAAGCAAGTCAATGACTCAGTCAAAAGTTTTGACTGCCATAGATGTCATTGATGGGTGCAACCTCCTTGTTCTGATAATGGCTTGTGTATATAAATTTACAGAAGGAATTGTCAAGTATTGGTTGGTAGCTGTAAACCTAAGCTAACTGTCTGGCAGGGGGAGGCAAGAACACAACTTATCTAATTCAGTGGTCACCAACCAGTGGGCCGGGGACTACTGGTGGTCCGCAAGAAAATTTTGGTGGTCCGCAGAGATATGTCCCCCCCAAAGCACCCTCCCAAAGCAATTAATTCAGGCTGCATGGGAACACAAGGCTGCGCCACCCACATGGCCCGCCTACCCACATGGCCCCCATCCTTTGGCCAAGCACAAACCTTACTTTGAGTAGAGCTGGAACTGGAAGGTAAGACCAATGGCAGGGGAGGGAAATCTGCCCCGTGATGGCTTGCTGACATTGGTGGGAAAGTCAGTCCCATATTCCAGAGCTGCAGTAGTCATAGGACTGGCCCTTTGGTCATCCCAGAGCAGCTGCTCCTCCACCTGGGTGCACTGGCCTGTCTTGGACTGCAGGAGCTGCTCTGGGATGACCAAAGGGCCAGTCTTGTGACTACTGCAGCTCTGGAATATGGGACCGACTTTCCCACCAACATCAGCAAGCCACCGTCAGTCAAAATTCATATTAGTGATCTGCGGGATTTGAAATTATGAGTTTGGTGGTCCCTGAGGTTCAAAAGGTTGGCGACCCCTGAACTAATTGATCAATGCATGAAACTTATTGGAGGGCAGAAACATCTTGGCAATCAAAAAAAAAAAAAGATTTTCAAATGCTTTCTCTGATGTCATTTTCATTATTTATGTATCTGAAGTACCATGGTCTGCCCGAAATAATGTTTTTCAATAAAAGAAGCAGAATTTTTACTACTTACTTATGAAGCAAAGCAACCCTGTTTTCTTAATCTGCTTGTTAAACCTGCATACTGACTTACCCTTCTGGACACTGAGAAGCACTAGAAGAAGCACACTGATCTTTCAGCCAGGATGTTTCTCCTGAAAAACACACATGAGAAGATGGATCTTAATTGCTGGCATTTAGATTCAAAAGAGAGACAAAGAGGCTGTTATCTTGTTTTATCTTTAGGAAAGTTAAATGAATGAATACAAATGAGTTAAGTCCAGAGATGCACAATATATTCTATTAGTTGTATGATTAGGAAATTAACCAAATAAATTTGTGAGGAAAAAAGGAAGGTATGACTATGCCTGACTAAACTTTGCTGTAACCCAAATGGTTGTAATATAGTTGAGATAAAGTAAAGAGATTAAATCTGACAGGGGATTGCCAGAAGGAAGTTAACTTGGGTGTTAAAAATTTGCTTACACTGATCTGTAATTTTAAAAAGCCAAGGAAATTGGATCCTTAAAGTAAATGGGGTTAATTATTAAGGGAAACAAAATGGAAGTTCCTGGTAGATAGCTTGGAGTCATTAAGAAAATCAGAACTCTTGCCTCACACAAGAGAAAGAAATTGGGTTCCCAAACTAAAAAGATGTAAGAAAAAGAAACAAATGTGGAGCTATGGATAGACATATATATATACATAGAAGTATGCATATAGACCAGTGATGGCTAACCTATGACACGCATGTCACTCGTGCCACGCCGAGGCACTTTGACTGACACGCCTGTTGGTGTGGGGAAAACCTGCACATTTAGAGGCTGCCTGTGCTCTGCTCCAATCCCTGCTCCCTGCTTGTTGCGTGGAGGCATGGTGTCACCACTGCCGCAAGATCTTTGCAGCAGAGAACCAGTTTTAACTGCCATAAACTGAGGTTTGTCAGTTTCATTACCTCAGGAACGCTACAGGAGGAAAGGAGATCCATGAGGTTCACAGCCCTGTAAGGTGGCCTTCCGATCCCCACATCCTGCACCTGCAGCCCTGAGACCAGGGAGACGAGTTTCACAGCCCTGTGTGATCACCCCAGCCCAGTCCGTCATAAACCAAATTATTGATATTTCTTGAAGTGACACACGACCTGAGGAAGGCTACACTTTTTCCCGATTTTCGACACACCAAGCTGAAAAGGTTAGCCATCACTGATATAGATTAAGAAATCAATGTGAAATAGTTCTAAAATTACTCAAGAAGAGCTAAAATATCAGAATCTTGGAAATCTGAATGTGTTTCCCTCTCCCTTTCTTTCTCTCTCTCTATGTCTAAGTTAGAAAAGGGCATGATGGAGACGATTACTCAAATTACTTTCTTGGAATGGGCTCAAGCCTCACTTGTCTGATCATTGCCTTGATAGCAATCAATCTTTCTTCTGATCTTCAAGACCATTTCCTAGGCCTTCAACATACAGGGAAGACATGAGGTGAACAGACCAAGTTTAGTTTGGACAGCAATGGCTAGGAAAAAAGATATCTTAAGGATATAGAAGGAATGCAAGACAAAGCTTCAAGTTAAGGAGAGAGAAAAAACTACTCATGAATAAGCAAAAGATAAAAGTGACAACATAATTTTTCCCCCTCCACCACCTTGCCCAACTGTTCCACTCCTTGCAATTGACAAAAGAGATAAAGCAGCTTTAGTGGAATAAAGGCTTCAGGAGTTTTGGTTGGCAACAAACCAACAGAAAAAGACCTAAGCATGTGGTATAAATTGAGAAGGCAAAGATCACTCATGCTTTGGTCACCTAAGAGGGGGGTTACTACAATGTACTTTAGATGGGGCTGGTCTTGAAGATCATTGCAGTGTTGTAAGCAATTAAGGAGATTCCATCTCTATTATGTAAGGTACATAGGTTACCAATAAGCTTCCAGGTGGAGATCAAAGGTGTAGGTTATCACTTATCAAATCCTTTGCAGGCCTGTCAAACCGGTGGCCCACAGGCTGGATGCATCATGCGCAGGCCACGCCCACCCCGGCTCCATAAAGGCAAAAATGTCTTGATACGTCACGATATGTCACATGACATTGAGTTAACACCCATAAGGCCCAGCTATTTAAGGACTGCTTCTCTCCCATTATTTCTGCCTATCCCAGAAGAACATGTCATTTGCATCCCATCTATTAAGCAATGCCATCAGTTAGGATCCCAGAAGCATGTCTTTTCTGTCTGCAGTATAGGAATAGCACCCTCCCAGAAGTTCATACTTCCTGAATCATGCAAGAATCAGTTTCTTAAACTTGGCAGATTTAAGATGTGTGGACTTCAACTCCTGGAATTCTCCAGCCAGCACTGCTTTAACTGATATCTGGCAACATGTTTCTTCCCTCAGTCACTGGGATATGTTAGAGCACGAGTGTCAAACTTGCGGCGTCACATTTCCATCACATGATGTTTTGTGACTTTTTTCACTTCACAAAGCTGGGGTAAGTGTGGCCTGCGTATGATGCATCCAACCCACGGGCCACCAATTTGACATTCATGTGTTAGAGTGTCCTCATCACATGTGAATGTCTGTTTCAGTTCATGTATATCTGTTTCCACAGTTATGTGCAATGTGATCCTTATCTTTTAAATCTGTACAACACCCAAGTTCATTATTGAGTTGGGTAGCCTTACGAATCTAAATTATATATACATAAATACAAAACCACTAAGGAATATTTTGGAGGAAATGATAATTGGATAGTCATCTTTAAAACATTAAAGACTTATTTAAAAAGGAGTACTTTTGTTAGATTTGTATTTTGTGTCAGATCCCATTTGTATTATTATCAAAGAACGGTTCCCAAATATAGCCTTATAATGTTCATTTAATTCCCTCATAATTTTTTTTTCTGAAAATGTTTGTGAAAATGATTCTGCATGGTTTTTCCCTCTCTTAATTTCATAAAACTTATCAAAATGCTTTGTCAAAAATTCAGCCTCACTTTTGCAGATGCTTTTGTAGTCTGTACAGCAATCTTTTTTCGTCAAGCAGTCTTCAGAACAGGAGCATAATACATTGGCCATTCGCTTCTCACCACAACGTAATTTATTGCAAGACCAACTCTGAGCTATAAAAATAGAATTCAATGACAAAACATAAGTATTTCTAGAAATATGTTCCTAAAGGTAGATCCATGTGCATTAAGGCACATATATCCAGGTCTTTTATTT